GGGAAGATTAAAAGACAAAAAAACCCAAAACACCCAGAGTACATCTGCATTTCAGCCCCTTGTCAGTTACCAAGAACCAACAATCCCAAACAAGCTTGAGAAGTCCCTATAATTTCTCCTTTGTAGTCAAGAAAAAAATAATTACAAAAAGTATAAAAAAATCCTTATAGAACTGCATTGGAAAAATGAAAGGCTGTGACAGAGGGCTTGTACCTCTTTCTACTTCCATATTAAGGATGAGGAATGACTGAAAGAGTTCAAAGGGAAAAAAAAAGCTGTGATTTAGAGAAGTCAGGTATTAATTTTCCCAGGGGACTGATAGAGAGCTCAGTGATGCCTCTAGTGAACTTTATGACCTTGACTGTAAGGTCAGAGATGCTCAATGCTTCTCAAAATCCTTTGTATCCAAAATATTAATTTGGATCACTTTCCACAGTGTTTTAATTAACATAAATCCAATCCTTTCCCCGCAAACCCAAATTCAACTGCAGCTCCTTTGGCTCATAAGGTGTTAATATGCCACTATTTTACTAATGAGTCTTCAAAGCTAGACTTATAATCTCTCTCACATACACATGTTACTGTCACACCTTTAGGTACTCTTTAAAGAGGGAAAAAAAAAACAAAACCAGAAAAGATCAGTTGTTTTGCTTAGAAAAAACTAAAATCAGTAATGAGAAGCTACAGAAAAAATGTCAGGCATATAAATGTTAAAAAGTTCGTAATTTCTCAGTTCAGCCAAATCTGTAGCACGCACTAAGCCAAAAGGTATTCTTTAAAAGAGTAATATAAAAAAACCTTCTTATATAACAAGCCTTTTCCCTCAAAGTGACGTCAATTAAATTACTTAGAAATGAACAAGAAGTAATTCTGTGTGACCCTACCGTTTTCTAGCAAGGTATTATCTGTCATGAAATCGGTAACAAATGAAATAGAATCTATCCGTTCAGCTCTAATTTTCCTCCCTTATGGATATCAACCAGAAGTGCTGCGTTACAAGGGAGAGGATAATTTGAGACTAATGGAAAAACTAGGAGAATTCTGCAATGCCAAGTAACACAGAGCTGTATCAAAATGCCTCTGCTTTCAGACATACTATTAACTTATACAAGGAAAGTGAAGAACAGAGAAACCACATGTTTGCTATTATGCATATGATAACTTACAAAGTCAAGCCTAAACTTTCCTCATGTTTCATTTTACTGTAGTAGTTTTCTTTTAATGTCTTAACTCAGCCCAGAGCATGTGCAAACTCCCATGACTGGCAAAATGTCAAAATGAGCATTTAATTCAAGTAGTTTCCTATATATCAAGTCTTTTTTTTTTTTTTTTTATCACTCAGATATAGATCAATATATTTTAAATTTAAAATTAGGAGCTCTTGGAAGACGCAACATAATCTTTTCCTTAACAACCAATCTGCTCAGTGAAAAAACAGTATTTACAAAAATTTGCTGGATGATACTGAAAATTGGCAGTGATTTTTATAATTATTTGTTTTAAATCCAACCAAGACAAAAATATTCTAGAAAGGTATCCTGAAACAATTTATGAAGTTAAAACCTCTTTCAGAAGACCCATAAGTTGAAAACATTTGCTTGCTGGAACCTTTGAGCAGTAACAGAAAGATGGACATTACCAAATATCAGCTGCAATATCGAACTGAAGAAGCTTAAACAGTCATTGTAACTTGGCATATACAAGGAAATTAATTCTATGATTTGTTACAAAAATATATTATTCTCTAAACAAGTCTGAATTTCATCACATGATTGAAAGTGATGGCACAACGAGTTATTGTCCACTACAGAATATCACGTAGGACCTTCAAGCACCTAAAATGTACATCTAACTTCAAGAAAAAAAAAAAAAGACAGAAAATTGAGTCATATTTGAAGACACAGCATTGAAAGCTTAAAAACATGGGTATTATGAATCTCTGCATTACAGAAAGAAGTCATTTGTAAAAATGCATTACGCCCATATGGATGTGCTTGCTTTATTACAGAAATAAAAGCATACGAGCTTGCAAGCCAAAATATAGCTGATTTTAATCACAGAATGTCTCATGACCATATACACCTAAAGCTTCCGCTGCTTCAGAAGGCAGAAGCAAACACAACCTTTCTTCAGCAAAGTTTCCCAACAATCCAAATGCCATTTTTTCCCAGGCTTAACTCTCATGTTACGTGTAAACAGTCCACCAACCACACTGCATTCTTACAACAAGGGTATGTATGACAAGATCTAAACACTATTTTAAAACATCAAGGAAAAAATGAAACTAGTTTTAGATTGCAAAGTCTGTGAAACCTGACATCATGGCAGCAATCACTATTTTAAGAGACATTTTCAGGTTTTTTGTAAGCTTTGTTTCATTTTGTCAGCAGTGGATATTTCAAAGGATAAATATAAAAGTGGACATTAGCTGACCCAGAAGACTCCTAGCAGCCTTTCATAAAGAAGCCTTTTCAAACTCAAATTAATTCTAGCTGTAGTTGACAGTGCTCAGACATTTGATTAACTAATGCCTATGGAGTGACCTCATTCACAAGTTCTGTCACCAAGAAATGAGTCCAGATCACAACCAACCCTGATGCTGTCTGGGTAGCAGAAACTGGATGAGGACAGCTGAACCTCTCACCATCCCTGGAAGAAAGCAGCCAACTCCAGATACAGTTTGGATAATGTCGGCATGGGAGTACAGGAAAAATATCCAAATCCAGCTCTGTCGATCATCATTTCCTATGGGAAATTAAGAACAGCTGAGGGTGCTCCCATTTTACTAATGGCAAGGTCGGTTACTGTTTTGCTAGAAAGAAACTGGCTAGTTGAGATTTTTTTGTTAAGCTACTTCCATAATTTAAATGGGGTTTGAAACAATCATCTCAGGCAACAGGAAACAAAAAAACTTTTAGAAAATGAAATTGCCAGACAAAACATGCAATCATAACCATCAGGAAGGGCAGCTCTTAATGATGGTAACAAGGATCCTCAGTACAAAAGTGGCGTTTAGAGTAACTCAGTTTGATTTGTCACACCAAAGATGATGTTTATACGCAGTTCAGCTGAAAACATATTAAGGAAAATATGAACAAAAAACGTGTCTTAAAAGTGCAGTAAACCATTCGCAAAACCAGGAAGGAGTAGAAGTCAGAGGTTCTTCAATGTAAAACTTCAGTTATGGTTTCTAAGGGAGCCTTTATTTTATTTCCATACCATGGCAGCTCTTTCTTAGCCATCTGCTGTTGCACAAAATGATTGAAATGTCTGAACCACTCATATCAAACTTTACTTCAGTTCTCAACGGGCAAATAATCCACAAAAACACACCAAAATATTTTTAAATAACATTTTAAAGATTTAAATCAGGTAGTTCAAGAATTCCTATTTTACATAAATAAAATCCAATGCAACTATGAATCTCTCCCAGTAGCAACACCCTGCAAAACATCTTGCACATGGTTCACATAAGCTTTCAACAGATGTATTCCTGCTTGCTGAACATGACAGGGCATGTTTTATTGGGCTATTAATACATGTCTTCACTGTTTTTGGAGGAACAAGGGTGTCTGCAAATGGGTCAATAAAGCATGCCACCGACTACCTAATACTTCTATCGTGACACTAAAAAAAGCAACACACGATTAAAAAAAAAGTTTGAAAACCTGTAACAGATTTAAGTATCTCTTCACATCTGTTACTTTTAAATCTCTCTGGAAAAGCTTAGTATTTAAAAGAACAAAAGCAGTAAACAAATAGTATTGGCCTTCTTTCTAGCCATGCTTTTTTTTCCCCCCTGACATATTTATCCATTCTTTTCACAGATGTTCTTTACTCAAATTCCATATTTTATCCTTCCCTTTTGTCTTGCAACAGAAACACTTGTTTAAAAAAAGAAAAAAAAGGCGAAAGCTCTGACTCTGACTGCTGCCTTACTAAAAGATGGTTTACATAACTCAAAATACATTTACTTTATCTCCTATGGTAAAATTTACAAGTAAATCCTTTACTTATAACATAGACTCATAGCAGTCCACAGCCGTATCCCAAAACATTACTCCTCAATGCAGGCCTGGTGCCCAAACATCAAAGAACTGGCACAATTCACTGCATGTAGTCTGTGCTTTGCTGGAAAATAAACTTATTTTCATTAAAAACCCTACATTGGTCTAAACCAAATACTTGTTAATTCACTATTTGGTACAGTGAGTACTTGTGACTGATGTATTTCTTTTTTAAACTTGTTTTACATATTAGTTATGCTCAATTTTCACACAATTGCATTGAAAATTTCAAAAATACCTAACAGCTCCTCTAGCCGTCAGTGAAACATGTTGGAAATGGTCTTGTCTTACATAACAAACCCATTCTGACACTAAAAATGAGTTATGGTAATGCACATTTAGCGTCAGCTAGATATTCTGGAGGTGAGGAAAAAAAAAACCCAACAACAAAGCAGTTTCCCATGAAAGTCCCTAATACTTGCATGCTGCAAGAATGTCCGGCAGGTAAAGCACAAGAACCAACACACTCAGGTCCTGCTCTTGATTCTGTTGTTTGACCTTGAGCTTCCCTGTACCTCTCGTCCCTGTTCAGTGACCTGACAGGGATATTAAAGCATTCTTCTTTAATATTTGTTAAATGATCTGGGATATTAAGACAAAAAGTTTCTAAAAGTGCGACGGTATTCTGTGAATTAACAAACATTTTAGAAGCCTTCGGTCTCCTAAAAGTAGGAAGCAGAGACTGAGTGCAAAGCTTTTTTTCTGTTAAAAATAGATACCACAATCACAACCGAAGGCCAGACTAGACAACTTTCATCTCTGCATTCACGAAGGTACAAGTTTTGACTCCCAAATTAGACCTAGATTTAGGAAAGTCAGATGGGAACAGCGAAGAATGTCCTTCAGTCACAGAATTTTGGGTTGAGAGGGGATTTAGTACACAAAGCTGCAAAGGTTTATCATATCACCCCTTTCTGCTCCAGCTTACAGTCCAAAATATTCGCTTAATATTGCTAATGCAATGTCTAAACCACAGCAGCTATTTGGTACTTTGAACATGAGTAGCAGCCCTAACCTTCAGGCTGTCTTTGCAACCAAAGCCTACCCTTTGTAGTTTGGATTGTCACTTCAAGTAAAGATGAAAAGTTAAGTATTATCTTTATTTTCCCCATTTCACACAGATCTAATGACTCACTATGCAGACAAGATGAAGAAGGACCAAACAGAATGAACTAAAATGGGATGGCTGTAGGATTGCATGTAGTTTTACAAAGGAAAAAAAGTGGTAATGAGAGCTGTCAAATAATTATATCCATTATATGTCTTCAGGAGTAGATAAGGTCAGTCTTGTTAGGTCAAATGATTCTTTCAATTTTCCTACTGGGTCATCCAAATGAAGCAAACTGAAACTTTTTTTTTTTGGTAAACATGAACTTAGGGTCTCAGAGAAGAAAGGCTAATTTTGCAGAGTTATTTTTGTATTTTTGTCTACCATCTCAGTAGACATCTAGCAAAGCTCAAAGCAACTTGCTGCTAAATTAGTCTATTTTATGGTACTGAGAAGCTTCCTAACAGCTGCATTAAAGACATGTAACAGTTTCCCTGCCTCAAAAAGGAAAAAAAAAAAAAAAAAAAAGAGAAAATATCCTTCTGCTTTTCCAAATTTAAGACATTCCCAGCAATGAAAATGCCATTACTAACATCCCTATGCCCTACTGTTAAAAAGAAATAAAGTTTGACATTTGAGGTTTAGTTGCAGAGTAGATTAAAGCATTTGTCTTACCTCTAGAAAATGTATTTCACATTTTTTGTTTCAGTTAAATTGCCATTAGGGATGGAGGGAAGATGCACAAAGGATACAAATAAGGCAGACAATTGACCCAGTCCATCCAGCAATCTTTGCTAAAGAGATGTTCAGGACACAAATGGGACACTGCCTCAGCAGAACAGTGTGAGAAAGCAGCAGGGATATGTCTCATGCACAACATGAAACCAAATTTCTCAGAGGACAAGATAAAAAATAAAATAAAATAAAGCAGATGCCACACTTGTTTGTTCTAGGTCTCATCAGAAGCCATGCACTACCCATTATAACGACTAAACCTCAGATGCTGTCATGTAAATTTCAGTATCTATTATGCCATCATACTAATTGTGTTTTGAGTTACTGGGTTTCCCTCAGGAAGGGTATACTGTACTTTCAACTCTCCTTAAACAGAAAAAGCCACTGAAACAAAGCAAGTCTGCTATTTGTAATTGGGCCAGGGCAGGGTAAACATCATGCAGCTGTGCTTATTTTCTCTCACACTTCCCTTGCAATTCACACATGTGGAGTGCTTCAGTAATGCAACAGAAAATAACCAGAAAAAGAAAGACTAAGAAGAAGATTAAGACCTTCTGCAGTGGCAGGAACCTAAAAGAGTCCACAACACTTCTCATTTATACAGGGGCCATGGTTAAAATAAAACGCAGTTTCATTGCTGAGATGAACTTGTAGAGCTTTACTTCTACATGCAAAAGAGTAGTTGTTGGTTTAAATATGATATATCTGGGATCGACTTGTATTTAGAAACCTGCCTGAATACAGAAAATAAAATTTTAAAATTCTTTGCAAAAATCTCAAAGGTGTCATCTATTCTAAAACACACCCCAAGCACAGTACTTGGGAGCAGCCCCAAAGGCTGGGTTAAACACAGCAGGTGCAGAAGGATCACCAAGCTCCCAACTTCACATTGCTGTCACGCTTCCACACAAGGTCTCCTCCTGAGAGGTGCCAGAGGACACTCTGTGCACAGCCTTGCTGCCTGGCCAGCCCACAGCCCTGGGCACCTCCCAGCCTGCCATTGCCACGTCCCTGCTACAGCATCTCGCCTTCTCTGAGGGAAGAGCTCAGCTCATCAGCATGATCGCTTCCTACCTAAGTGGTTTCAATCAAAACGAGAGGGATGAGCTTAAAAGAGGTTAGTTTCAGTAACATGTCTTTGCTGCTGCACAGCAGGAGAGACAGATGCTGACCAGCGAGTCCCTGGGTGCAGCAGCATGCCCCAGGCCCCAGCCGCTGGTAGCTGATGGCACTCTCTGCTTGCCCACCGTGGCTGAGCTGGTGCAGAGCCATCAGTGCAGGTATCTACTGTTGCGGTAACCCATGCGATCAGGCCTTCCACTTAGGTATTGATTTTGCTACATACTACAACATGGCAATAGTAAACCAGAGCTGCAATCTAAATACACAACAAATATAAATGAATTCATGTATTTCTGCAATCTTCAAGCCATTTCACCTACTGAACATCAGGATTCAGGTCTTTGAGGTAAACTAGGCACATGAGACAATGTCACTACAAGTAAATCTATCTACCTCAGTGGATTTCAAGATAGATATTCACCTATACACACTGCTCATCACTCCCATATAGTGAAAAATTGCTATCCTAAAACTTCTAGAGGTCATGACCACTTTAAATTATCAATGTTTTGCATGTGTTAAGATACAGTCATAGCAAATGAAAGAAAGAACTCTCTTTTGTTCCAAAAACTTGACCAAACAAGCCTGATTCACGAAGTGTCTCTACAAATTTCCTGAAATATTCTAGTAAAGACAAATATACCTAGATGACCAATTCTCATTACAGTTCTGGCCAAACAATAACACAAAACATCCCTAATTGCCCTCAAAGAAGTACAAGATTACTTGGTGTGAAATGCTGGCAGCCATTGCCTTTCCCCATGCCAACTCCTGCAATGTGTGCGCGGTGACTTTTGGTGGGAGAAGAGTACAGTGCTACATTATGCTTCAGGACAAAACTCATGTTTATACTATCAAAAGGTGAACACTCAGAAGAAGAAAAGACATGATATCAGTTTGGGTGAAGCATTTTGTAAACACCTTTGGGCTCAGAAATGAGAGATTTAACATGAAAACATTAATGATGCTGACAACATTGTAATAAATGCCTCTAACAGAACCTTGACCAGAAACCTCTGGAAGTGTTTGGAAAGCCCATACTAAGACAGGTCTAGAGCTCCATAGTAAGACATGTCTAGAGCTCCTGGTAATCACATGATACTATTTTATTAAGCACTCACAGAAAAAAAATAGTGCCTCCTTGAGAATAGAAACTCGTAGAAACTTGCCTAGAAGCTTCCATCAGAGTTCACAGGTGTCATAATGTTGTTACTGCTAAAACTCACTAGGACTGCAGCTAACTCTTCCTCCTGTTCCCTCCTCCTTTTAAACAGATAAGGAAGTCATCATATTTATTGTAGTCACACATAAATATCACCAAACTTCTTGGGTATGTAAAACTATTGAAATTCTTACCTCAGATGATTTTGAGTTTTCATAATATATACCTTGAACTAAGTCACCAATAGCACTTGAAATGAGTTCCACAACCTGTAACAGAGAAGAAGAAAAAGCCTTACATATTTAATTGTCACCAAATTTGCTAACAAAGCTACTGCCAGATTTCTAGAAAGATAAACAGTCATAACTTTCCTTGCAGAAAGCTAGTTGTTAAAGACTGAGGGATTTACTGGGATATATTCTGTACAAGCGTCCTGTCTCTCTGCTAAAACCTCTACTACAGTAACTCTTCTATCAAAGTTTTAATATAAATGAAAAACAAGACTGTTTTTTTTTTTTTCCTAAAGTGTGAACTATGGAGTGTATTCTCACAAGGATGTTCACAGAACTAATAAATCCCAGTTCATGAATATGAGACAGTACCTCATCTGGGCTTTGTTTTGTTTTGTTTTTTTCCTGCCAAGTAAATACTTCACAATACCTCTCATTGGGAGCTGTTAAAATTCTAATCTTCGTGGCTAATACAGAAAAGTCAGAATCCATAGAAAGGTAACCTTTCAAATGTGATCATTTGGTATTCGGGTGCCCTGGGAATGCACTGTGGATGTATTTAGTGCATGGCCTGAGGCTCAGCTGTACCACATACACTGCAAGTCTGTTACATGGGAATGTTTAAATCAGATTTATCAATCTGTATTATCTTCAGGGTTCAGACTTTTTATTTTATTCAAGTGAAGCCTAAAATTCTGAACTTAATCCAGAATGTAAAACAAGCAGTCCACGGTCTCCCTGGAACTACTGTACAATTTAAAGTCGTGCACATGAACTGCCTTAATTGGAACAGAATACTCAGATTTATTGTAAAATTAAATGCAGGCATTTCAAATAAGCACACCTTAAGGCTACCCCTTTCGTTGCTCACAGTTTTAATTTCTTGAATGTTTAACTTCCTATGCATATGAGTCTAAATCTGATTCCTCTTTTTGCTTCCTTCAATTCAACGTAGTTCTTATTGAATTAAAAGATTTAGTTTCAATTTTTATCATTCCTGTAATAGAAGACAAGAAGTTAAATGATAAAACCCCTAACAGAAAGATATTTTAACATTTAGGCACACTTTATTTGATAATAAAAACACATTTGTATGATAGTTTTGAGTACCAGCAGAAAGGTTGTGTGGTTTTTTTTTTTTAAAACACTGGTTCATATACATATTCATACATACAGAGCAAGCGCTAACTTTAGAAATGGTGCTGATTAAAAGTCATGGTTTTTCTTGCAATGCATATGGGTTAATTTGCAAGACCTATAAAAACAGCCTAAAAAAAAAAAATTCACATTGCCCTTTAGGAAACTAGATACTGAAGAAATATTATAGCAATACGAGCTGCAGAGGAACTGAAAGGACAATGATCCTACAGTGTTGCCAGATGTGTTGAGTTATTTAAGTGGGGAACAGAGAAAATGAGGGGCTTTTTTTTTTTTTCCTTTTTTTTTCCCCCGCCCTTTTTTTTTTTTTTTTTGTTAAGGTATCAGATAAGCCTTATTCCCAAATCCAGGAGGACTGAGTATCGCCAATAGGTCTATGAAAGTCTGTAACTAAATGCCCAGGATCAGATTGTATTACAGTTTATACAAGCAACATCCCAAGATTCTTCTGATGGCTAGGACACATAATACAGATCAATCACTTGCTAAAAAATGTTATGGTTTGTGAAATGGTCTGAGCTCAGAGACCTACACTGGTAATACGAAGAGGAATTTACAAAGACACTGAGTCCTACTCTAAATGTCAAAGTGATAGTATGAACTTTTAACAATGCAGCTGGCTCTGGATAACTAGACCTTTTCCTCCCTCGCCTGAAACTCTAGACTGAGCAGGACCCTGTTTCGGGGTTTCTTTTTTCCATCTCTCCTCTCTCTTTTTAGTGCAACTCTACTCTCAAAGGCAATTTTAACTGACTTAAAACAAATCTCGGTGAAACATTTGTGAACAATTGTACCTCTTCCTCTTATAGTTTATAAAACATCTTAGGAGAATTACACACCCATTATTTAGAAGAATCCATATATTAAATACTATCAGGCCTTTAGTGACCTATTGAACACCATATGTTAGTGAGAATTTAGTATTAATGTTACCTCCCTTCTTTCCAAATATATCTTTTTTTTTTTAAATAATATTTTTCTAAGGTAAATGCAAGGCCATACAGATCACTACCAGGAATGAAATTCCAGTTTCAAGAGCACAGTGGGATGCTTGCACGAGGCTCTGTTACTTCATCAACCCTTAATCTGATCTATGCAAAGCATCTGCTGCTTAACATCAGTGGCCTGGGGTCCTGAGCACTGGGGAAAGCAATGAGAAATGAGGCAAATAGGTAATTTTCCTCTGCATCCCAAACTGACATAGAGGAGGAAAATTCATCAAAAAATTCAAAAGCAATCAACATCCCCTGTAAAACTTGTTCCCTCCTGTTTTCTATAAGGGGAAAACAGTGACAGGGAACGGATTTTCCCCCAAATCATGCAGCATGCCAGTGGAAGAGCAGAAAACAGTATCCCAGTTGTCTCTATTCTCACCAGTGCCTTTCTGCCTGACCAGTGCCCTGTTCCATTTGCTGACATTTCTGAGAAGCACGTTTGAACAGCAGGAAAGGAAGATGAAAAATCAAGTGCTCCCAACTGCTTTTCTTCTCATTTGAAGGTTGAGCTCCATTTAAAACATGTTCAAAGATGGGAAGAAAGGATTGCCAGAATTAAGTACGTGAAAACAGCAGTGTCTCAAAAGAGACCAAAGGCAGCCTATTTGTAATCTCTCTTCCTGTTATTTTTCCACTCCTTCACACATTTTTGAGAAGCCTGGTCCCTCTTACATACTTGAGATGAGCAGGAGTAACATCATCTTGAGAGAAAACAAACTTCCACTCTATTTTTCATTTTCTGCTCTGCATCAGCATCTTCCAAAGCATTGTGTGTTCTGCTCCCCCCGAGCGTCTGCAGGGCTAGGAACAGCCCAGGGGATACCCGTTACTTGCAGGTGACAAGTGCACATGCAAATAATTTCACGCCCTTTAAACACATGTTCTGCAACAGTTCTCCCAGTGTTTGGTTTGGTTTTATTCTGTGGGTTTTTTTCTTCTTAAGCGGGTATTACTTCAACACCTTTTACAGAGATGTTATCTCCTCTGCTTTTAAAAGGTCAACACAAAGGCCATCAATTTAGGATGAACATAGAGAAAAGAGATGATTGTTAAAGCTAAAAACTCTCGTACTATCTAGGCAGACTAAGCGTATAACATGTTGTAAATTCTGAACACAAGCACGTGATTGGTCATTCCATAGTAAGACAGAACTCATGCCCTGACCGCTCTGATTTAAGCAAATATGAAATAGTCCAAAAGACTGTGCTATGTTTCAATGCCAGAAGAGCTCTGTAGGTTTGAAGATCAGAAGTTTGGTGAAACTTAATTCACCCTTTTCTGGTATAGTAACTTATTGGTCAAAAATGCACAGCTTTAGGTCTTCAAGGCTCTTTAAATCTACTTTGAGTCTAGTTTCTCAAGCTCAAATTTTCTAAACACTGATTGAAGAAATGAAACAAAATGGTGGTAATTTTCTTAGCAGTTCAGAAAATTACTCAGGACATTTAACTAACCACACATTGAATATCCTCCCTCCTTTTCTTAAAATCAGACTAAATCTTTCAGGTAGCTTACTGAGGTCCCATCTATAAGATAATTCAGGGTTCAGAATTCCCAATACATTCTGGATACATGATGGCACAGAATAGGGTTGTCACAGGTACAGCAGCCTGGTTCTCGCTTGCAGTTGACCACCCTGGGAAATCCAGCTCTGTCTATAAAACAGAGGTATATTTTAATCCAGGTGAAACACTAAAGCTAGAAGGACTGCAGGGAAATCACAAAATAAAAGACATTTTGGTCTTTTCTTCAGAGTTAGAAGATACGATTCAGACTCCTTCAAACACCGTAAAAAGGATGGATTCTGGGCCCACTTGTCCTTCACGAGATTTCTAAACACCCTGGGTGAAAAGAAGACATTGCTGCCATCAGTTTAGCAACTCAAGCACTTTGTTCCTTTTACTTGTCTTTGAAATATTTTGTTTAAAGTTCACTGCAACACAACACTGCATGCGTATTTTTTCCTGGTTTTCATTCTAGGAATGAATTTGAGCTCCAAAGTGCAGTGGTTTTATTTTAAATTCAGCAGCTGAAATGGAATTGATTACACAGACCTCTCTACTTCAGAGGAGTAATACCGTATCTCTGCAGACTCTCACAGATATTTTCAAGGGGAACATCAGGGGAAGGATGAAGCTCTTGCAGAAAGACAGGAAACAGCACTAGGAAGAACAAAGCAATGGATGTATCTTTGTTTCTCATCCTTCCCAATTTCTATTTGACAAACTTCCTTAGCTTTGCCAAATTCCTTTCAAGAAGGACCACAAGTAATTCCTTCCTTTCTAAGTGTTGAAACAATATCCTTTCCTCACACATTCACTATGACAGACCCTACTCCATGCTGCTGATGCAGACTTGAAAACACAGCAAGGCTTCTCCATACAAGTAAAGAAGAAAATTATAGTCAGGAAACATTAAATATACAGATAACAGTTCCTTTAACATGCATTTTACTTCCCTCCCCAAACAAGTATTCATTTTTGGAAATATTTCCACACTTAAAAATTCCACAGAAAGTTCTTAAAATTAAATACTCTCCTGCATTTGACACAGAAACATTGCAACACTAGGAAGATAAAGACTAAACTCAGTAAACAGCTGACACTGGATTTTGATTGTTCAATAATACCTTAAAAAAAAAAAAAAAAAAAAAAAAAAAAAAAGGAGCAAAACCTCTAAGGAGTTCCAAGAACACTGGAATTCAATATTCTTTCCTGGTAATCTCCTCAAACATCATTAGCCATACAGGTAACTAAGCATGCCAACCTTCAGAATTTTTTTTAATGTAGGTTTCTCAAATCCTATTGTATTCACTACTTGAAATCATCTTGAGCTTTACTATTTTTTGAAGCTGTCCCTCTCTCAAAAGAAAGACACAGAAAGGAC